AATAGGTCACAAGCAGTAGCCTAACTCAGGCAGTTCTACAGAAGAAGGTAACGTTGCAACCCACGGCAATCCTTGTTCACAAATAATTGAAGATAGGACTCAGGTCAAACACAGGACCCTAAAACCATGGCCTCATTCTCTCTTTGAACCCAAAAGCCACGGTGCACAGTCTCATCAAAGGCAACACCTTCCTCATCGCTTGGAATAAAACACATGCTTTCCCTGAAGGGAGGACTCCTCCCCAGCCTGCATACACTCTTCGTGCCCGAGTTACAGGAGGAGCAGCCCAACTGCCTGACAAAAGATACGAACTAGTTTCATGTTGGTCTGAGCCGGAGCATTGCATTCTGGACAGTTTGTGTTGAACTGCAGCACCTGGAACACAACATGGGGACGGAGAGTGAGCCCAGCTCCGGCTAAAACCACACAGTAGGTGAACGAGCACGCAGTCGCCGCCCACGTTGGTGGTGAGGGACTGAGCAGCACCAGCCTCCGCCCACAGCCGTGCTCCCTCCTCCGCAGCAGCCCATGGCACTCACTTCGTTTCTGAGATCTTCCTCTTCTGGCTTCTCCTCTGGTGCCTCAGCCTAGCGCAGCAGAGATACAAATCACACGCTGGCGCATACACCCCAGCTTCCCAACACCCTGCCTCGGAGTGAGAGAAAATATTCTGGCCTGTGTATGTCGGCTGGCCATATGCATTTAACAGAGAAACCAGGAAGCAAAGCCCCAGTCCACGGAAGAACAGAGCTTAAGATAGGATCACAGTCACCAGCAACCTTTGTTGTACAGTTTATCCTAAGTCTTTTTAAAAAAAAAATGTGTTTTTTTTGCATTTATTTATTTTTGAGAGACAGAGAGAGATAAGAACACAAGTGGGGAAGGGCAGGGAGAGAGGGAGACACAGAATCCAAAGCAGGCTCCAGGCTCTGAGCTGTCAGCACAGAGCCTGATGCGGGGCTCAAACTCATGAATTTGGAGATCATGACCTGAGCCGAAGTCGGACGCTTAACCGACTGAGCCACCCAGGCACCCCTAGTTTATCCTAAGTCTTGACATGAGCTAAGAGACGCACAGACATGCGGAGATAGGGTACGCAGGGCAGCAATGACAAAGGAAGATTCCACTGATTCCAAGCAATCCAGAGAGCAAGATAATGCCAGAGCATTCTGCCGGCTTCTTCCGTCTACTTACCTGGAGCCCCAGCATCTCTTCCTGTTGTACAGTCCGGTTATAGTGTGTGATCACCAGGGCATGATCTTTCTGGGGAGCATGTGGGTTTTCCACAAAGCTGTTTCCTGAGGGATCATCAATGATCTGATGGAGGGAGTCATTACAACAAGAAATTACATATGCTCTTCCACCTACCATCAGACCTCTCCGGCACCAGTGGAAAAATCCCAGTCTTAAGGGTCTCTCGTCCCCTAAATCTAGGGAACCCAGAGTTCCTCAGTACTCACCAGAGTGAAAGGAGAGGCCACTCGCTTTAGCTCTTTCAGTCTGACAATGAACTCATCAATTCTTTCAGCTACGGCTTCTTCGTTTGCCTGACATGAACAGATGGTAAAAAGCATTGGCCCTGCTGATAGACCCCACTCCCTGTCAATCCCACACCACCTCCATCAGGAAGTCACCACCTGTCTTAGTATAAGTGGGAACAGAGAGACTCAGACTTCACAAGAAGATACAGCATGTAAGTTTGGTTGTGCCAAACAAGATCCAATTTCTCACTCATTCAACCATGTATAGAGCCCAGGCTCTCACGCCAGTTTAGAAATACAACAGTAAATAAACCAGAGTCCTCTCATGGGGCTCCGCAGCCAGTTAGGAAGACACATGACTAAATATGCAATTATATTACTTCCTTTACAATAAATATAAGGTACGGTGGAACGCTCAGGAAGTAGAGATGAACCCAAGGGGATTAGGAAAGGCTCTTCAGAGGTAGTATCATCCTACCTGTCTGAGATGAGGTCTGAATCTACACTGGGAAAAGGGAAGTAGAAAAGATAGTAGATGCAAAATACACAACATCCTGGCAGCTACGGCATCACCGTGTGCTTCCCCCAAAAGTTCTCCAACATTTAATCAGAGACAGTTCAGCTACATGGGAAGCTGAACACTTTGGATACATAAATATACGTATACACACATATATATACACATATATATATACGTACGTATATACGTACGTATATGTATGTATACATGTCGTTATTGCTTGAGTTGCTGCAATCAGAAAGCCCCAGCTTACCCTTCGTGTGGGCTGATCCTGCTCCAGGCCAGAGATAGCACGGCTGATCAACCCTTCAACGGTGGTCAGGGCTAGTGAATAAGAAAAAAAGACAAGAGAGTCTTGACTATGCTATCAAATGCCTGTATGACTCTGAGCAATTCACTTGAACTCTCTGGGCTTTGATTTCAACTGTAAGATGAGGAGGCCTGGAACAAGGTTCTATTCATTTGTAACAACAGTGACGCTAACATTCTGTAATATGCACATTACAGTCTATCACACTCTACTGTCTCAAGTTGTTTTATCTTAGCTTTCAGTTTATGTTGAACCAATGAAGACCACAGCAATACCACACCCAAAGCCATATACTAGCCACCAGGCCCAGCACTAGGGTTCTTGCAAGAAAGCAAGACTGTAGCCAGGCATGAACAATGAACAGTCCAACCACCCTGATCTTATACCTACCTCCCTTCTGAGTGAAGGCAGGAATTTCAAAATCCAGCTCTGGGATGCTTGTGGTGGCAGAGTCCGTTTTCACCACTTCTCTGTTCATGTCCTGGGCAGAAAAATTTTCAGTCCAGAGAGGTCAACAGTACAGCTTCTCGGGAAATACCCAGCAGTTTCTTCCTCTGTCCATAGCAGGGGGTCCGGACGACTCCCACCAAATAGGCCATGCATGAGCCCAGCTGCCCAAATGCTGAGAGTACTATTCATAACAACTACTACTCATTTCATTCCCTCTGACAAGATAAAATGACAAAGCACTTTCACAAGCCTTATCTGACCCGAATATCTGACAGCACCAACATCATTTTACAAAGGAGGAAACTCAGGCTTGGGCACCTCGAGGTATTCATTCGTGGCCGCGCCGCCTAGACCAGAGCTGTGACTCCAGTCCCCAAACCCTCTCTTGGACACTAGGCTACCTGCTCTAGGCTCCTCTCACCTCCTGGGTCCTGACGGTCAAAGCGTAGCGCACTCCCTGATCCTGGATCCTGCCTGCCGAGTGGATCTCCGTGTTGTTCCAGCCACAGTGCTCACAGGAAAAGGAGCTCACGATTATTTCTCTGAAGAAGGGGACCTTGGTGAGCAGGAGGCGCGTCGTACCCTGAGAAAGCAGAAAGCAGCTAGAAAGAACCAACGAAGCTCCAGTTCCCCGTCTACCGACCCGCGGGCGTGCCTCGCCTCCGGGTCTCCAACTGGGCCTACCTGGGTCGCCGACCCCACCGCCCTTCCCCGCTTCAGCTCAACCTCCCGCCGCCCGGGGCCGCGCCCCCGCCTCACGTTGCGGTAACAGTTCATGCACAGCGACTCGATCTCAGTGGGCTGCTGCTCCTCATCCTCGGCGCTGATGGGCCGGAACAAGTGCTCGGGGGCTGGAGCCTGGGCCGGAGCGGGTGAGGGGGCTGCAGTAGCCGCCGCGGCCCCAGGCTCCACAGCCCCGCTAGCCGCCATCGCCACCACGCGCAGCTCACGCCCCCACTTCCGCCTTCCGCTCTTTTCGTGGCCCCACCCCCTTCCGTCACTTCCGCTAGGTGTCGCCCCCGTCTTTTCTTAAAGAGGCCGCAGATTTGGGACCCTAGGGAACGGTGTCTGGCAAGGTTTCTCACTGCTGGGATTTCTATGGTCCAGACTTCCAAAGCCAGCCGGATTCAGGCTTTGCCTCCACCTCAGTTCAGGCGTTGCTTCCCCGCAGGACGTCCTCTCAGACCCAGGGCACTGTTTGGCTCCTTCGCAATAACTCCATCCTACAGGGTTCTAATTATTGTCGGTAAATACAAGAGCCTTGATGGCAAGAGGCTTGGCTTGTCCCTCCGTACCCACAAGGAGGTGCGGTCCAACCTGGGCTCTGGCTCCACTCCATTGTTGGGCCAGACATTTGCTTTGGCTATAGATCCCCCTCCCTCAGTCCCTCAATCCCTCTCTCCCTTTCTGTTCTCACTCCCTATTTCTGTCCTTATAACACCTGCCCAAATTCCAACCTCAAATACACAGCCCTCATTTTTACTCCCGCCCCCTCATCCCCAACACATCAAACCCCGGCTGACTCACCCCTCCTAGTTTCCTAATTAACAACAAAAACAACTCTTTTTTTTGGTAAACTTTCCTTTCTGGTATCTCCTCTCCCTGGGCACCTCTCCTCCAGTTCTGTTGCTAAATCTAGGGTGTCAGGGAAGAGGTCCAGCCTGTGGGTATGATTAGGCCAAATTCATATGGGGTACTGAGAACCCTGTGCCAGGCAGGCTGCATGGGGAGGAAAAGGTGTTGGACAGGACATTCCCAAAGGTGCCAGACGGGGTGTATTTACCCTTTCCTCTTCCCCCCACTTCACCCATCCCCAATTTCAAGTTCCCAGAAGGATCTACGAGGACATTTGTTGTCCCTGAGTGAATGTGTACATGGGGAACGGGGGCTTAAGATTTGGAAGTCCCAAGAAAAGGGTCCATCATAAAAAAGCCATTCAAAATCTCGAACAGCAGAAGCAAGGGAGACAGGCCACCTCAGGAGCCTGAAATTCATGCACACTATCCTGTGATAAGGTTGGCAAACAATGCAGGTGCAGAGGAAGGGTCTGTAACCCAGGCCGACACCCAGGCATGACAGACATCAGTCATCTAAGGCAGGCCTAGCTAAAGCCAGAACCCTCTGACAGACCTGGACTGGGAGGGGGTCCATGAGACAGAGCATTGAGGGACTTGAATGAGTGATGGGTGCGAGGCCACTGCTTTCAGACACAGCCCAAATAAGAGTCACACCAGACAAATATGCATCCACCATACACCTCTATTTCATTTGAATCAGAAGTCTAGGCTTCAGCCTGGGAGTCAGAAGTGAGGGGCCCCAGATGGAGACGACACAGAGTAGGCTTCCCTGTGGGTTAAAGAAGCCCACAGAGTCTGGAGGGTTTGGTCAGCTGTTTCCATGTAGAGCTATATAAGGAAATACAGGCTCTGCTCCCTCTCATCACAGCCCCCAGCACCTGTACCCACCGGCATCAGAGCCAGCAGGGGTATAGACACACCTTCATATGCTCTTACATATTTTCTCCCTTTTCCCTTTCCATTCCCCAACAGAAGCTGTCATGGCAGCCCTGGCGAGAAAAGAGCTCCTCTCTGTAGACCAGCTGTAGCAGCGGCCACCAGGCGGCCAGAAGTGATGGGAGTCAAGTCCCAGGAAGAAGAGGCACAGGCTTCCGGCACCATGGCAACAGGCTTGCACAAAATTACCTGCACACAGAATGCCTCTCTCCCTCCCCACTCCCACCATACTGAAATGGAGCAACTTATGAGGATTCCCAAATGAACACGGGAAGCTGGGTTTGCAAAGCCTGGTGAGTATAATGCATCCGGATGGGGGAATCGCCAAGAGGCTGAATATTCCAGGAACAACAGTCCCTTTGGTGGCCACGCCTATCCTGTGCAGGGCCCTCCACCCTCTGCCCAACAGGCCACTGTCAAGGACTGAGCCACACCTGGTGGGGGCTCAGATCCTGAGCTCCGAGAAGAAGCCTGGAAGTGGGCCTGGACAAGTAGACAATCAGGGCTCCTCTTGATGGCCGAGACCATGGTCGTGAAGGCTGTAGTTGATGTCTTCCCACAGGTCTTCGAGACGGGCCTGCAGCTTGCTCAGGGCCTTGCCACTGTCCGCTTGGAGAAACTCTGGGGCGAAGGCACTGTGACCTGGAGGGGGCGGCGCCAGCTGCAGCTGGACCTCCTCGGTCTCCCGGTCAATGGCACAGGTGAAGTCGGCGATCTGCAGGAAGGTGTCGTGGCGGAAGGCCTGGAGTCGCTGACGCACCTCCTGGGACAGCACCTGGGGGTCCTGGCTGGTCCCTTCAACCGCGCCATCAGCGCGGGCGCCGGCAAAGGCGCTGAGCTCTTCCCGCAGCTGGTCCAGGTTCTGCTGGATGCGCGCGTGCAGCGCCTTGGCCTTGAGCGTGAGTTTGCGCGAGAGCGTCTGCACGCAGCGGCTGAGGCGCGCGGGACTGGCGACGGCGTGTGGGGCCACGCTGCGGTGCAGCTCCTGCACGTGGCGCCCGATGCCGCTCACTAGGCGCTGGGCGTAGGGGTGGAAGAGCGCCTGGACGCGGCCCGTGTGGTGCGCCACGAGGTTCTGCAGCTCCCGCAGCAAGCCCCGCGCCTCGTCCACGCCGCCCAGCAGCTGGGCCTTGGTGCCCTCTCCGACCACGCGCAACTGTTCCTGCAGCTCCTGTACGCGCAGCGCCACCTGCTCCATCAGCTCCGCGGTGTAGGGCTTCAGCTGCCGCCGCAAGCTCTCCAGGTTCCAGCCCACTTGCTCGTGCGCCTCTGCCATGTAGGGCTCCAGGCGCGCCCTCACCTCCACCAGCTCCTCCTGCAGCTGCCGCCGCATGTCCGCCGGGTCCTGGGGGAGCGCAGGAGGCTCCCTCGCCTGCCCACTGAGAGGGCCCAGCTTTTCCAGGAACTTGTCTATATTGCTGAGGTCTTGCTCAAGGCTGTCTTTCAGGCTCCTGGGGAAGGGGACAGACACGCAAGTCGTCAGACTTCTAGCCCCATCATCGCCTTTGCTGCGGACACATCACTCACTGATCATCTGCGGAAACCGAGGATGCAGGGCGGTGGCTCTAGTCCTACCTGCGGGCCAACCACACCACCCGTCGCACGGAAGTACTAACACACACGGCACGTGCACATCCAGACCAAAACTGCGCCCGGAAACAGAGGCACCCGGACTCTCGCGTATTCCTTTCATTCTGGGAACACGGGCGGGGGGGGGGGGGGGACGGCGGGGGGGGGGGTCTTTGCTGCTCCCGGGCCCCACCCCTCGGCGGACAGGGGCAGCAGCCATCAGTGAGAGCAAGGCGGACGTGGGGGCGCTGCTGCTGGCAGAGGGGGCTGCACAACCCAGGAAGTCTGGACGGGATAAAACTAGCACAATTCGGTTCCTCTGTGCCAGTGAGGGCTAAGGAGGTTGAGGAATCAGAGGCGGCACACCACAGCTCAGCTGTCTCCTCCCTGCACCCACACCCCTTGTCCTACTAGCCACTCACGTGGGTTCCCATGCCAGCTTCTGCCGCTGGACCTGCTCGGCCTTGCCTTTGTCCCCGCTGCTCTGGCTGAAGTAGTCCCAGAAGCCTTTCTGTGTCTGGGCACTTGCAAGCGCTGTGGACAGGGATGTGGTAGTTAGGGGCTGTGTTTCCTTCCCCAGGGTGGATGGGGGACCATCAGTCCAGCCTCCACCCACCGCTCGCGTCGAAGTCGGGCCGAGACCCACCTGGGAGCAGAGCCAAAGCCCAGGTCAGAAGTGCAGTCATGCTGGCCATTATCTACTCAGAAGGAGGATGAAAGGAGGCCTAGTTAGGGTAAAGAAGCCAAGGAAGGGACATCTCCCAGATTTGCACCAGGGGACCCTACTCCAGGGGCAACCTGCCCCATCTGTTAACCCTTCCCTGGGGTGTGTGGAGCACAAGGCTGTTGGGGCTGACGAGGGCTGATCTAGGTGAGCATGGCTGGGAGAGGAAAAGGGGGTTCGGGGAGGAGGACTTCTTTATCACCTGGGCCACACAGCATGGAGTGTGGAGCTCTAACTGCTTTGTAAAGCCCCACCCCCACCCCCCAAGCCCCCAGGAGCAGCCACTTCTGCCACCGCCCACCCCCTTGCTCACCCACCTTCCTGCCTCCCACCGTATGGTACACCTTATGGAGTACCCCACAGGGGAAGAAGCAATCCTGCCAGAGTGCTCCGAGAGGATGCCCCTGGTCCTTACTTTCTGCCCCCAGCCCTCTGCTGAGACCCCTGCAGTCCCCTCCCTTGGGACTCTGACCCACATCCCTCCACCCAGCCTCTGCTCACCTGCTCGGTTCTGGGCACAGAGAGCAGACATTCAGCTTTATACTCCAGGGGCCTGGGCCTCTGGCAACAGTTGCCCTGAGTAAATACCACGTGGAGGTTCAAAGAAGGATGACCTCAGCTGCCTCCCAGTACTCACCTCCTGCCCTTCCCTGGCACCCAGAGGGTTAATGAGTGCCCCGGTATCAGGGGGGCTCTCCAGGAGAAGAGTGAGGAGTAAGGCCGAACTCCTCACCCAGTTCCCCCCAAGCCCTGTGACCTTCAACCGTCCCACTGACCAGCCAGCTGGCCTGCCAACAGAGAAGAGCCTCTCTGCTAAGGGCCCTGCTCTTACTCAACTGCCCGAGGCCCTGTGCCCCAGCTAGACAGGGACGACGTCCAGGGGCCCCGGCAGAAGCTGAGCAGCTCTGGCCGGCTCCATCACTGGCTACTCAAGCAGCCTGGCGAGAGCCAGATTTATAGAGTTAAGGACACTCCCATCCTCCATGAAACAATCCTGGAACTGCTGGGAAGTCAGATGTGACGGGGAAGATGAGATGGCTAGAGGCACCTGGGTCCAAAGAATTAGAGCAAGAGGAGGATTCTCCCCACAGGAATACTCCACCCACAGGGCTTCGGAGGAGGGGAAGCCAGAGAGCCCAGACCTTTGTCTGACGTCACTCCCACTCCATAGACTTAGCCACACATTCCTGAACTCCTGATTTTTTGATCCTAAATGTACCTTGAATCGGCCCCCTCTCCTCCATTTCTACTACCAGTCACATCACAGCCCCTCTTGCCTCTCACCTCGATCACATCCATAGCCTCAGACAAGTCTCTCTGCCAAAGTCCTGCCTACTCAGTGTATTCTCTGCTGTGGCTCATCCCAACCCATTCTGGTCTCATCTCCTACCACACAACACCCTTGGCATTCTCCAAGCACACGGTCTCTTTCAGGACCCTCAGCCTTCATACATGCTGTTCCCTCAGTTTGAAATTTCCTATCCCTTGGTGAACTTATGTTCTCTCTCTCTCTCTCTCTCTCTCTTTTTTTCCAGACTTAGTTGTATGAGTTAGGATTAGTTAGAATTACAAGCCCACTTTTGGGTATACACCCAAAAGAGTTGAAAGCAGGAATTAGAGCAGATATCTGTATGCCCATGTTCATAGCAGCATTATTCACAACAGTCAAAAGGTGGAAACAGCCCCAACTGTCCATTGGCAGATCAGTGGATATGCAAAACGCGGTATAGATACACAATGGAGCATTATGTAGCCTTAAAAGGGAAGGAAATTATGATATATGTTATAACATGGATGAATCTTGATGACATTACACTAAGTGTAATAAACGAGACACAAAAGGACAAATCTTGTATGCGTCCACTTAAATGGAGTACTTAAAATAGGCAGAGGCCAAAAGTAGATTAGAGGTGACCAGGGGCTGGGAGAGGGAGGACAAAGAGATAAATTGTTTAATGGCATAGAGCTTCTGTTCGGGAAGATGCCAAAGTTAATGGTGGTCGTTGCACAACAATGTGAATGTACTTAATACTATTGAATAGTTGTGCACTTAAAAATGATAACTTTCGGGGCGCCTGGGTGGCGCAGTCAGTTAAGCGTCCGGCTTCAGCCAGGTCACGATCTCACGATCTCACAGTCCGTGAGTTCGAGCCCCGCGTCAGGCTCTGGGCTGATGGCTCGGAGCCTGGAGCCTGTTTCCGATTCTGTGTCTCCCTCTCTCTCTGCCCCTCCCCCGTTCATGCTCTGTCTCTCTCTGTCCCAAAAATAAATAAAAACGTTGAAAAAAAATTAAAAAAAAAAATGATAACTTTCAGGGTGGCTGGGTGGCTCAGTCGGTTAAGCATCCGACTCTTGCTTTTGGCTCAGTTCATGAGCTCATGGCCATGGGATGGAGCCCTGTGTAGGGTTCTGTGCTGAGCGTGGAGCCTGCTTAGGATTCTCTCTCCCTCTCTCTTCCCTTCCCCATTCTCAAAAATAAATAAACATTTTTTTAATGATGATTTTCATGTTATGCAATATATATCCATATATTTTTTGAAAAAGCATTTTTCGTACTCTATTGGTTTTCGGAGAGGCTATGATATAAAACATAGCTGCACTATAGTTTCTGTTTGCAAGTTAGTATCATCACCACCCCTTCCAACGTCTTGTCCGTAATGCAGAAGAGACACCTGGAACCATATTTCCCAGAATCCCCTTTCTCCCATAGGCCTAGGTTAGAGTCAGTGTGAGAGGCAAGAGGAGAGACTGTTACTCTTCACTGGTAGTTGCAGGAAGATGCATAGGCAGACAGACGGGTTTTAAAACGCCTTCGGGATGACCTTGTTAAGAAGCACACCCATTGGTTTCACAGACTAAGACAATTAGGTGAGCTTCTCATTTGTAGCTACTAACAGGTGAACTTTTTTGAGTGTCTCTCCTTCAAGCACAAGCTGAGACAGTCACTCCTCCAGCACTTCCAACTGCTTTATCAACCTTTTTTTTTTTAATTTTTTTTTAACGTTTATTTATTTTTGAGACAGAGAGAGACAGAGCATGAACGGGGGAGGGGCAGAGAGAGAGGGAGACACAGAATCGGAAGCAGGCTCCAGGCTCTGAGCCATCAGCCCAGAGCCTGATGCGGGGCTCGAACCCACGGACCGCGAGATCGTGACCTGAGCTGAAGTCGGACGCTTAACCGACTGAGCCACCCAGGCGCCCCTCAACCTTTAATTCTCTGTATGAAAGCCTTTCATGCTTGAAATACATAGAGTTGCTTCTGTTTTTTCTGACTGAATCTACATTAATACAATAGGTGGATACAAGACACACTCGTGCTTCCCTATTTGCTACCATCGTATGGTTTTAGTTTCTGTAACATTTGGGTTGGTTGGCGGTCTTTGCACATGTGTATGTGTTACAAGCTTTGTGTGTGGAACCATTTGAAATAATGGTAGACAGCAAACAACTCCTAAGAACAAAAACAATTCTTTTTTTTTTTTAAGATGTTATCCTTATTTTTAAAATTTTTTAATGTTTATTTATTTTTGAGAGAGAGTGACAGAACGCAAGCAGGGGAGGGCAGAGAGAGAGGGAGACACAGAATCCAAAGCAGGTTCCAGGCTCTGGGCTGTCAGCACCGAGCCCAACGTGGGGCTCGAACTCATGAACCACCACAAGATCATGACCCGAGCCGAAGTCAGAGGCTTAACTGACTGAACCACCCAGGCGCCCCAAGAATAAAGACAATTTTACATAAATACTATTATCACACCATGACAATTAACATAATTCTTTAGTGTCACCTAACATATACTGAATATTCAAATTTTCCCAATTCTCCCAAAATGCCATTTGTATCTATTTTTTCCTTTTTTATTTTTCTTTTTAAATTCAGGATCCAGAACATCATATCAGATTATCATGCCCCTATGGTCTTTTTTCATTTAGAACAATACTCCCTAACCCTTGACATTCACTTCTTTCAAAGAGTCCAGGGGAGATGTCTTATTAAATGTTCTGGATTTGACTGTTTCCTTATCATTACATTCAGGTTAAACATTTTTTGTTTTGCATCTTTGGATGTGAAAACAAGTTTCCTACAAGCCCTTTCTTACAGAAGAAATCAGCTACTACATGTAGATGGGATATAATCTTTTTTAAAAATTACGGTTTTTGCCATCCTCAGATAATTGATTCAAGCAAGGATCATCAATGACTGGTAAAACCATAAGGCGAAAAATTATTGGGCAAAGGGATGCTCACATGCCTTCAAAGTATCACCCCACAGATGGATGACTCACCAATTACTAAGATGTGCTTTTACAATGAAGAAATCTGGTGGATCATTTTAACCAAGTGATCAAACTTAGTGTCACCAAATAGCGGGAAAACCTAACGTTTTGTACCCCCAGATGTGGTGAAATGAGAAGGGCCCAGCTATGAAATATTTTAAATCAGATAATTTCCACATGAACTTGTTTGCATTTCCTTTTTCTTCATGTTTCTTTGTTGCTTAGTATCTGATGTTCTCAGCTGAATTTTTAGAAGAGAATTACCCATTTGGTTTTTTTTTTTAATTCAGGAATTGGCAACATAATCTGGATATCAAGTAAAAATAATTTTAAAATGTATATTTGTAAAGATTAAAAGGTACCTTATTCTTTAATGTTCTGTATTAGCAGTTTTGCTATGAACACATGAAATACACGAGTATATGGATTTCAAATAAAATCTCAACGTGCACCAAATGAGAAGATTTCTTAGGCAGTCTTCCTCATGTGACCTGTCATTTAAAGGGACATTAGTGACTCCTTACTCTAAATACAGAATTTCAAGACTTATGGAGTTACCTCTTAATAAACGCATCCCAAACTGAAAATGGTTGTGGTAAGTCAAACTTGTTGCAAACTGTCCTCCTTCAGTCTTGTCTTCCAATAACTCAGGTGTAAACTGAGATGAAGCAGTTGTTACTCAGTGTGACCGCAGTTCCCAGGTTCCGTCTCAGAACACACCAGGGATGGGGTAAAACAGAGTAAGCATTCATGATGGATCCATTTTATGTGGTTTATAGTGCTCTCACCAGGCCTAAATGGAAGTCTGTTTAAAAAGCAATAGCAAGTATATACCTCACATGCACTAAAAAAAACCCCAAAAGGTATTTAACATGGCATTGAATAGCCAAGCATGTTTAGTAGTGACCTGTGCAATCTTTTTTTTCTTTGTCTTGAAAGATGTATTTGCATTATTTGTCAAAAAGAAAAGTAATTAAATAGGCCATCTAGAAGTGGAAAAATACAGTCATTAAAATGAAAAGAAAATCATGTGTCTACAGTTGGAGAAAGAATTAGTACACTAGAAGGTTGACGTGAGAAAAATCACCCGGAAAGAACCATAAAGAGAAGGAAAATATGAAATGGAAGGTAAGAGACAGGGAAGACAGAATGAGAAGGTCCAATACATGCCTACCAGGATTTCTACAATGACAATAGAGAGACTTTGGTAGAGGCAATATTCCAAAAAAGACAGCTGAGAAATTTTCAAAATTGAAGAAAGATATGACCTGAATTCTCAGCTGCAGGAAGCATCCTTGAGTCTTGAGTAGGATAAATGAAATCAAAATCCAGACCAAAGCACATTGTCATGAGTGTGAAGAACATCAAAGACCAAGTAGCTTAAAATCAACCAAAGAGAAAGGACTACAAATGAAAGTGGCCAAACCGACAGCTGATCTGTCAGTAATATATCTTCAAAAAAAACCAAAGGTAAATTAATGGCCAACCAAGAATTATACTCAAGTGAACTATTATTATTTAAATGTAACAAGTTAACTTCCGAGAAGAGCCTAGAGCATTGATCACTCACAAATCCTCACTAAAAACGAAAGAAAACTCAGAGAGGAGTGGGGGTACAAATAGACACAGAGGAAGGAATGAAATTACTAAATGTTTAGGTAAATTGAAAATGTGTTCGTGATTTTAAATGACTTTCTATAAATGTGTGTTATCTATTTAAACATACATACACTTAAAATTACTTCTTTGCAACTAAAATTTGGTCCAGTATTGGCAACTTCATATAGTCCAACCTAACATAAAATACCTTTAAATGTAGTTTAGTCTTATTCCCTGCTGTGTTTCCGGTGCTTAGAACATCGCTTGTCACGTGGCAGGGGGCCTCAATAAATATGTATTGCTGAAGGGATTACTTTGGAGGAAGTGATATAAACAACAAGGATCTCAAATATCAGACCAAAGGAGCCTAGAAAATCTGAAAGCAGAGATCAAAGTTAAAGCATTCTACAGTCTTTGCATTATTCAGCAAGAAGATAGGGATATTGATTATCTTTTAGACTTTGTTAGGTCAAGCAGGAATATTAAAATTTTAAGGATAACCCATTAAAAGAATACAAAGGATGTATAGCTTTCAAACTAGTATATGGGAATAAGACTAAAGAACATCAGATTGACTTTTAGAAAATGATGGTGGATTGATTGCATGCATTAGCCTGCAGTCTTTTCTTGAAATCCCAATAAAGCCGCATTATAGGGCACTTTAAAAAATGCATAAATTCATTGGGGCACCTGGGTGGCGCAGTCGGTTAAGCGTCCGACTTCAGCCAGGTCACGATCTCGCGGTCCGTGAGTTCGAGCCCCGCGTCGGGCTCTGGGCTGACGGCTCGGAGCCTGGAGCCTGTTTCCGATTCTGTGTCTCCCTCTCTCTCTGCCCCTCCCCCATTCATGCTCTGTCTCTCTCTGTCCCAAAAATAAATAAATGTTGAAAAAAAAAATTAAAAAAAAAAAATAAAATAAAATAAAATAAAATAAAATAAAAATAAAAAATGCATAAATTCACAAAGAGAATAGGAGACAGGATATTTTGGAAGTTGGAAAGCTTCCATGTGCTCAAATGGGCATCTTTTTAGATACACCTAAAAAGATGAGTTTTACAGCAGCATTGGAGAAACCCAAGAAACCCCCTGATTTGTACCACTGAATGCCCCAAAAGTTCAGACATAAGAGGTGATAGGTCTTTCTAGAAACATGGATGACAATGGAGCTAAAGATATGGCAAGTGGCTGCAAGTCTGTCTGAAAAGCAGATGTCCTCCCCAACTTCACTCAGCTGGATTACTGGCCTTCCCCCGAAGCAGCAGGAAACCAGATGTTTATTCCCAGAGAGGGTAAGAGGGGTCTCTGGCCTGGAGAAAACAAGGTATCATTGGGGCCAACATTCTTATACCCCCAAAAAAGAGGATTTAAGTAAAACTTTATATACTAAATTATGAAATGCCTCCCTTCACATCACCTTTCTCTTTGGCCAAAATGTTGGTCAATTAGACCTTATCCTCCAGGAAGGAGACTAAAACATTCTCCTGAAATATATGACTACACCAAGAAAATAGGCAAAAAGAAACACTTTGGGGGGGTTCTTTGTGGTCAAGATGGTCCATCCTATTGTGACTCATGGATGCAAGGGTTCATATCACCTTCATTTTTTTTCTTCTATTTTACTATGAAAATTTTCAACCATACAGAAGAGTTGAAAGTACAGTGACCATCCTTAAACTCACCACCTAGGTGAGTTTATTAATTGCATATTAATAATATAGTAATTAATATTTTGCTATGTTTGCTTCCTCTCTCTATATATATATATTTCATATGTATGCTTGATTTCTGCTCCCTAGCCTGCTTCCCTATATTCCAAATTTACACAACTGGGTAAGAATCTGGGGGTAAATTACTGAAACGTATAGAAAATCAAATAAACCACAACAAAAGACAATTGTTAACTGCAAGTAGAAAAAAAGTACTGGAAAAATTACCATTATAAACCACATATGAATAGCATATACATAATCATGATAATATAAATACTGGCTATGATATTGTAGTTTGAATAAGACCTATGGTATAATAAAGGCAACTGGGTTGATCAGTGGATTATCTGACTCTTGATCTCAGCTCAGGTTTTGATCTCAACTCAGGTCTTGATCTCAGGGTCGTGAGTTTAAGCCCTGCCCAGTGTGGAACCTACTTAAAAAAAAAAAAAAAAATAGACCTATGATATAAAAAATTGGAAGGCAGGGGACAGGAAGTGGTGTGTGTGTGTGTGTTGTGTGTGTGTGTGTGTTGTTTGTAAGGTGTGTATATGTGAAAGAGAACCCCATTTTCTTTGGCCATAGTGGACAATCATAAGCCTAAAGATAAGATACACCTAAAACTGGAAAATCAGAGAGTAATAACATAGAATTTGCTAAGATCCAAAAGAGGTTTTTGCAGAGTGGAAAACGGGGATGAGCTTCAGGATTTTTTACTTTTTTATCCCAACTTGGAGAATTGTTTGATTCTTTAAACTGTGTAGTTTGATAAAATAAAAACTAAATTTAAAAGTGCATACAATTGGGGCGCCTGGGTGGCTCAGTTGCTGGAGGAATGAAAGAGAAAGACAGGGGATCTCAGGGAATCTCAGCAAGAGACTTGAAGCACTGGGCAGGGTGGAGGGTGAGGCCAGAGCCCAGGAAGAGGGTGAGGGAGGCAGCGAGAAAACAGAGGGCTGGTAATGTGCCCGGCAAGGGGGATGCTGGAGAGAAACGTGCTAGAGGCAGAGCAGTTCAAGTGTTTGGTCACCTGAAATGAGATGGAGGAAAAGGATGCCAAAATTGAGGTCAAGGTGCTGAGAGGGGAGCATTTGGCTGCATTTTCCACATGGATTTGATATCCCTTACACGAAGGCAAGCTCCCAGGAGAAGAGATAGATGCTCAACTAGGAGCCAAGCACACAGTCTCCATGCATGTGGAAATCAGCACTCAGCGCAAGTAGGGAGTGTAGCCAGATAGAACCAGCCTCAAAGATTTAGGGGTCTGGAAACAGCAACCAGGCCTGAAGAACACAAAGGAAGGCTACAGGGAAACCAGGTGTCCTGAGCAAAGACCAGCTTCCAGCAAAGGCCAAGAAGTGGAGGCTGAAGACAAAGGGGTTTGTTCCAGAGGGTGAAGAAAGGAAGAAGCAATATGCATGGCAGGGGTAAAGGCTTGGAGGCAGGAAGCCATGCCATTGTAGCATGGGGGGGGGGGGCGGGGAATGAGGGAGGGCTCAGTCTGGCCAGCACTCAGCAGCAGAACAGCCTGGGAAGAAAGCCTACGAAACACCTGCAAGTGTCCCTGCCCTCTGAGCCCAATAGGATTTGAAAAACTTGATCACAGTGACTCCTCTATTGAGTGCCTGCCATGTGCCCAACATTTACCTTTACTACCTGTAACGCTCCAAAGTAGGTATTGTTATCCTCATTTTACTTACAGAGAAACTGAGGCTCAGAAAGATTCGGTCACTTGCTCAGGGTCTTGCCCTGCACCAATCCCAGGTCTGTCTGACTTTGGAGTCCATGCTCAATGCACCACCTCATGCTCAGGATGAGAGAACCCTGCTCCTGGGACTGGAATCACAACAGCCTCTACACTCCTTGCTGGGAGAAGCCAGGAACCCACTGTGCTCAGTAGAAAGCCAGATCCTGCCCCTTCATCCCAAGGGGTTTACAATTTGGGACAAAGAGGGCTGTTGAAACACGGGGAAGCCAGGGTCTGTGTGTAAGCTGATGTAGACACAGGAACAGCGGCTCAGGGCCAGCCAGGGGAAGGACAGCCAAGCCCAGGGACACCTGTCAAGTTACCACAGGGAGTGGAGTCCACCTCTCCCTCCTTATCCTATCCCGTACTTAACATGCCCCCCTCTGTTCTCCTCCTCTCCTGCCTGTCCTCGCAGAGATAGAACCAGCTCTAGCTATGGCCAGAACAACAAGTCCTTGCGGCTTTAGCCTTGTCACTGTGACCTGTTTACCCTCCACAGTCCATGATCTATCATGTCTGAGAGATTCCCACCTGCTGGTGATGTAACAGCTTGGTGGGGCCAGTGACGTGAACTCTAATACCACGAAATGTACTGGGCACATTCTGAGTCAACAAAGTGCTGGTGTGCCAACCGAGATAAGGGTTTTCATTGTTTATTTGTTTAGGTTTTGTTCACACATACCCTTTTCCATCTCCAAAGACCTGAGGCTACTGGCAGTCAAAATTGAGATGATGATGATGGTGGTGGTGGTGGTGGTGATGGTGGTGGTGATGGTGACAGGACCAGTGAAAATAAAAATAATAACACAAAACCATAATCTGATAAGACACAAGATCTAAAAGACAATCACAGAGGCGATTAGGTATGAGAAAGCTGTAATTGTTGACTTCATATTGGTTTGGGTTTTCTGGAAGCCCATGAAGCGAGAAATTCAATCAGTTACATTATTGTCATACTCAGAAGAAGGAAGCGCACCAGACTCAAACAGAAAAAAAAGCTTTTCCAAACACAGAATAGCTAACTAAATATCCCCGTGGGACTTTATATACAGGGACCTTAGAATTGTAGCAAAAGGTCCCTGGTCATTGGCAATTTTGCGTAAGATCAAGGTGAGGTTGCCCAAGTATCTAAGCTTCTGGTAGCCTGACAAGATCTATGGCTGGAACTAAGAGCGCCTTGGCAAGTTGAAGTGGGAGGTCCTGTCTATTAAAATATTAACATTACTAGTTTTTTATTTTGTTAATATGTCAAAGACTAGTACAATGTAGAAAAGTATAAAATACAGGGAAGCACAATTATATATAATCACCCATAACTCCACCAGTGGCTCTTGTATATTCTTCCATATTTTTTTTATCTAGGCATATATTTACATTCATTTTTGACAATTCACTTTTATAGTATCAAGCTGTTCAGTAACCTGACTTACCTTCTCAAGAGCATATCATACTTATACATCCATGTCAATACATGTTCACTCACAATATGATTTTCAGTGGAGGTGAATACGGACATACCGATAATTTAACAATCCCCTCTTCTACATTGTTTTGTTTTTGATTTTTAAAACAGCACTGCAATGGACATCTTTATAGCTAAATGCATGCATTCCATGGTGATTGCCTTAACATAATTTTTAAATAGGAGAACATTTTCTGAACAGGTACATTCCTATTCGCAAACCCTCTGCAACAATTCTGAAGACCTCCCGGGTAGGTTGGAACCAGTGGCTTAGACCTCAGAGGCATAGATGCACCACAAAGCTCTCAATGATCTTCCATCTATGCAACTTTTCTGGACTTCCAGATAAACATGGAAAAATGAATGCATGTATCTAATTTCACTTTTTTCTGAAACCTCCCTCAAACTATGGTAAAGAGATTTTTTTTTTAAGAAAAGACTTAGACCCATAGGACCAGGAAGGATAGACGAAAAGGTGCCAGCAAGATAGTAAAGGTAGAAAATAGGCAGACCCTTTGCAATTGATTCAGCAGTCCTGAGAGAGCGGATCATAAGTTGGCAGTGGGGAAAGGTGAGTTCCCACCTTTTTTTTATCGCACTGAATTAACAAAAGGCTTAAGGAATTATAGTAGATCTGCAGCTAGCCTACGTTGCACCTGTGTGTGAATTAGAACTAACCTCCTCATTCTCAAGACACACTACTGCCATCTGCCAGAAACTTGTCATAATCAATACACAATTCAATAATGTCCACAGTGTGAGAGAGGTGTCCTCAGAATTGGGCAGTGCACAGCTTGTACAGACATACATAACAGCCCTGAACGCAAGGCACCAGTTACCACTAGAGGTGAATGAAGAGGCTGTTGTAAAATAGGAAAGATTGGTTGAAATTATTTAAAGAGCAGGTCAAACTTTAGCTCCTTTATCTCACCTTAGCAAAGACTGGAGGTTTATTTTCTAAAAAGGGAAAAACTAAAAAAGAAAGCCAAGCAGAGTTGAGAACAGGGATGCTATGCTAGAAATAAAGGGATTAAATCAAAGGATGCCCTCTGAATGCTGAACCCCATCCTGCTTCTTCCACTGAGCCCCAAGAACACTGGTATCCAGGCCTTTACCCTCCAGGCAGGAAAGTGAGAGAAACTTCCTAAGGACACATGACCAACTCAAAAGGAAATACCTAAATATTTCTACATTAGGAGTTCCCCAACTGAACATTCCAGAGGATCATCCAACAGTGAGGCTCACAGCCAATGAGTGCCACTCATGTACTTGGAGCTTCAAACCAGCTTTAAAATCCTGACTCTTAAATTTAAGCAGACAAGCAAACATTACCAGTTGTTTGAGGACAGATCCTAATGTGAAAGATAGAGACCCAAAACAAACATTTCAAAAAGACCTTGAAGAAAACCAAAGCTATACAGAAAGAACACTTAAAAATACCATGAATATTGGGGTAGCTGGGTGGCTCAGTCAGTTAAGAGTCCAACTCTTGATCTCAGCTTGGGTCTTGATCTCAGGGTTGTGATTTCAAGACCCATGTTGGGCCTGTGTTGGCCCCGCATTGGGCATGGAGCTTACTTAAAAAAACAATACCATGAATATCATCAGAGAGTTAAATATATCACATCGATGAAATAGGAATAGGGTATTATAAAAGAACATTCACAGATTTTTTTAAAAAGATCTTGCAAATTAAAAATAAGGATGCAGAAACGAAAACCTGAATAGAGGGTAAGGAAGTCCACCAGAAAGGAGAGCATACAGAGAAGGAAGACATCAGAAAAAAAGTAAGGAAATCAGACGGCTTGTCCAGAACTTTCCTAGTATTGGAAGAGATAAAGAAAAAGTGGTACAATCAGCTTGTAAAACAATTCAGCATGACCTGGCAAAGATGAATACACACATATTGTACCACTGAGCATGAGACAAAGATTCATTAAGTTTGTTAATTTATTCAACAAATATCTATTGTGCACCTGCTAGGTTCTAGTCATTGTGCGAAGCACTGATCATATGAGAATAAACAAGATGGGCGAGACCTCTCCCTTCTCAGAAACCAACCGAAATTGTTCATCCCAAGGCAGAGGTGAAGTATGGCACATCTCTGGCTCAATTTTGTCTACAAGGTTTGGGGCTCCATGAGAGGAGTGTCTTGGTAGGTTTCCTGTGGACAGAACATATATATAAGGGGATTATAATTATTCTGTGGCTCAGAAGAGAAGCAAAAGTACCACCAATGCTGTATTGAGAAAGAACAAGTTTAAATCTAATAATCTTTAACAGAGGGGGTGCCTGGGTGGCTCAGTTGGTTTAGCATCCAACTCTTGACTTCAGCTCAGGCCACGATCTCACAGTTGGTGAGTCTGAGCCCCACATCGGGCTCTGTGCTGACAATGTGAAGCCTTCTTGGGATTCTGTCTCCGTCTCTCTCTGCCCCACTCCTGCTTTCTCTCTTTCTCTCTCTCAAAAATAAATAAAAATAAACTTAAGAAAATAATCTTTAACAGAGTTGTTCAAACATAAAACCAATCGTCTGGGCAGATGGCAAGTTGGCTGTCAGTGGAGGTGTTCGACGCTAAACAGGATTGATTCACTCAACCGAGCGGTGACTGTGTGCCAGGCACTGTGTGAGGCATGTGTATTAGTCAGCTATTCTGCATAACAAATCACCCCAAAACTTAACATCGTATGATCTCTCACAATTGCTGTGGGTCTGTGGCTAGGCTGTGCAGTTCTGGTCTAGGATATGTCATGAGGTTGCAGGCAAGATGTTGGCTGGGGCCACAGTCATCCGAAGGCTTGACCACACATCTGTTTCCAAGGTGGCTCACTCACGTGCCTGGCAAGTTGGTGCTGGCTGTTGAACAGGGGCTGCTGTTCCTCTCCGTGTGGCCCCCTCCCCAGAGCTACTTGAGTGTCCTCCCAACAGAGTAGCTGTCTTCCCTCAGAGTCAGTGATCCAAAGGAGAGCAAGGTGCGAGCCACAAGGCCCTTTTGACCTAGCCTCAGGAGTCATACACCGTGACTTCCATAATAGCCTATTGATCACATAGGTCAGCCCTCCACCCATGAGAGAGACCACACAGGGCGTGAGCCAGAGAGGAGCATCAATCTCGGAGCCATGTGGCAGCCTGCCACCACAGTCTGTACACACAACGGTGGAGGAATGGGGTACCTGTCTGTGTAGAGTTGTGTTCATTTGCTAGAAACAGTGTCAAGGAATTGGCCCGAGAGACAAGGCGATTCCCTCCAAGCCTCAAGTCCTATGATTTTGTGCATAGGTCCTAGTTTTTCAGTTACTGCATCACTTGCCTACCGTCTCAGAGCCAGCTGCTCAAATCCTCTTTTTTTTTTCAATGTTTTATTTATTTTTGAGAGTGAGAGCGTGAGCAGGAGTGGGAGGAGGGACACAGAGAGAGGGGAATGGAAGATCCGAAGCAGACTTCATGCTGACAGCAGCAAGCCCGATGCCGGGCTCAAACTCACAAACCGTGAGATCGTGACCTGAGTTGATGTCAGATGCTCAACCAACTGAGCCCCGCAGGTGCCCCTCAAATTCTCACTCTTCTGACGTGGGCAATGCTGGGGTCTCTAACTATTTCCCTCCATTATTAGCTGCTAATTTCACATGGTGAGATAACCATGGTTCTGTCCTCCATACTTTCAGACAGAGAAGTCCCCAGATAACCCCACACTTGTGGCTTCTCTCCCCAGAGCATGCCATCACCTGTGTGCCCCATCCTGGGATCACGGGGTGTCCTATGATAACACCAAAAGAACACAGCAACCCCGCTGTTTTTGACTGGGCTGGAACAATCCCTCAACAGCAGTAAGGCCCTGTGGGTTCAGGAGGAGAGCAGGCCCCACACCCTTCCTTTGCCTTGTTGTGCTCTCCTCTCCCTAATCAAGGCCGTTCCATCACCAGACACCTCAGGGGTAGTGACCTCTCTGACGTTCTCAAATGACCTCTGACCTTTGAGCTTTGGGGATGGGTGCAGGTGTGTGGCTAGCGTCTCAGCCCAGCCCACACCAGGGCTGGCTGACACTCCTTTGGGGGCACTAGCCCATGCCTGTAGAGGAGTCCATCACATCCGGGTCACCTGAGGGGCCACGGGGGCTGGGGGAGCTTCAGGCCTGAGATTGTGCTGGGCTCTGGACAAACTGCACTGGGCGATATTGATGTGGGCTGTGCAGAAGTCCAGGAAACACCCCCTACCCGGCACTTGCAGGGGACTCTAAGTACATGGTTCTTCTGGGTTTAAGTGTTTCAGTCTTGCTACGTGGTCAAGCCTGGATCCCGGAGTAGCTCTGGTGAATATTTATTAATTTATTTGTTTGTTTGTTTGTTTATAGTTTTGAAAGTAATACTATTAGGATGGCTATTATTAAAACAACAATAGAAAATAACAAGTGTTGGAGAGGGTAAGGAGAAAAGAGCCCCAGTTCCCTGTTGACGGTAATGTAAAACATTTGCATGAAAATATGGCGTTTCCTCAAAAAGAATTAAACATAGAATTACCACATGATGCAGCAATTCTGATCCTGGATATATACACAGAAGAATTGAAAGCAGAGACTTGAAAATAGCATAATAGCATTATTCACAATAGCCAAAGGGTAGAAACAACCCAGGAGTCCATCAATGGTGAGTGCCTAAACAGAATGTGGTCTATACATACAATGGAATAGTATTCTGCCTTTAAAAAAAAAAAGAAGTAGAAGAAGAAGAAGAAAAAGAAGGAGGAGGAGGAGGAGGAGGAGGAGGAGGAAGATATTCTGGTCCATGCTACCACATGGATGAACCTTGAAAACATTACGGTAAGTGAAAGGTGAAAGAAGCCAGGCACAAAAGGACAAATATTGTATGATTCCCTTATGCATATTCTCTAGAACAGGTCAACTCCTAGAGACAGAAAGTAGAATAGAGGTTACCAGAAGCTGGCATGGGGGGTGATAGTGTGGAATTCCTTAATGGATACAGAGTTTCCTGTTTGGGATGATAAAGAAATTTTGGAAAGGGGCACCTGGGTGGCTCAGTCGGTTAAGTACCTGACTTCGGCTCAGGTCATGATCTCATGGTTCGTGAGTTTGAGCCCCGCATGAGGCTCTGTGCTGGCAGTTCAGAGCCTGGAGCCTGCTTCGGATTCTGTGTCTCCCTCTCTCTGTGGCCCTCCCTCACTCACACTCTGTCTCTCTCTTTCTCTCTCAAAAATAAATAAAACATAAACAAATTTTTTAATAAAAAAAGAAATTTTGGAGATAGCAGTGATGGCTGTACAACATTGTGAATGTAATTAATGTCTCTGAATTATATAATGGTTAAAATGGTAAATTTTATGTTATATATATATATATGTGTGTGTGTGTGTGTGTGTGTGTGTGTGTTTACCACAATAAAAAGGTAATACTAAATAGTATCTTAAAATCCCAATACTATATAAAACATATAAAGGGGAAAGCAATATCTCACCTTTCTGAGATGAACCCTGATGAATTTACCACCTAAGCTTTCAGTTTTCTTTCTCCCATGGAAGTCAGATATCAAGAATCGAATATGATCCAGCAGAACCCATCTGCCCCTTGTGTGGTGGGCATTGCCCCTGCTCTATGGGGTTCTCGGGGGCTGGACGGCTTGCTTGGGTTTGAAACTCCATTCCACCACTTGTTACCTAATGTACCTTACCATTCTGAACTGCCTTTTCCTTACCTGCTGTATCTTCAATGTTACAGTTTGTTGGGAGGAGTATATGAGTCAATGTACATATACCATGAGGGGCTGGGGGATTTTGTTGTTGTTATTGTTGTTTTGTTTCAATGTTTATTTTTGAGAGAGAGAGACAGACATACAGACAGACAGAACGTGAGTGGAGGAGGAGCAGAGAGTGGGAGACACAGAATCAGAAACAGGCTCCAGGCTCTGAGTTGTCAGCACAGAGCCCGACATGGGGCTTGAACTCATGAACCGCAAGATCATGGCCTGAGCCACAGTCAGATGCTTAGCCAACTGAGCCACCCAGGTGCCCCTGTTTTTGTTTTTTTTGATATTTATTTATTTTTGAGCGGGAACGGGCGGGAGCGTGCACAAGCGGGGAAGGGGCAGAGAGAGACAGAATCTGAAACAGGTTCCAGGCTCTGAGCTGTCCGCACAGAGCCCAACATGGGACTTGAACTGACAAGCCGTGAGATCATGACCTGAGCTGAAGTCAGATGCTTAACTGACTGAGCCACCCAGGCACCCCTCTACTGTGTTTTATAAAAGCACCTAGCACTAGGGAGCGCAGAGTATCAGCTTTATTGCAATGCCTGTATTATAACTTTCTGCCACTGGACATTCCTCATTCCCTATTTTCTCTTCTGTAACCTCCCTTCCTTTCCTACTATTTACCACTGCCTCACATGCCTGTACGGGGCATGCACAGAATCCATTTCTTTCCAGCCTATTCCTTAACGTTTCCTCTTTAGCAGCCAACATGGAGTACCAAATACAATTCTCTCTCTCAGAAGAATTTTAGGTCTAGCTGTTGAATTAACGGACTTTTTTTTTTTTTTTACCTCCTTACACATTCACATACAAATATACATATGTTTGGGGCGCCTGGGTGGCGCAGTCGGTTAAGCGCCCGACTCCAGCCAGGTCACGATCTCGCGGTCCGTGAGTTTGAGCCCCGCGTCGGGCTCTGGGCTGATGGCTCAGAGCCTGGAGCCTGTTTCCGATTCTGTGTCTCCCTCTCTCTCTGCCCCTCCCCCGTTCATGCTCTGTCTCTCTCTGTCCCAAAAATAAATAAATGTTGAAAAAAAATTTTAAAAATAAAAAATAAACAAATATACATATGTTTCTGAACGGGGTTGTATAATGCATAACATCCAGAACCTGGCTTTCGTTTGCTTAAAATATCTTGGACATCCTCTCATAAAGAGATGGATTCCCCAAACCAAATCAGAGCATTCTTCTTGTACTTGGGAACTCACGAGAGAGTAAGCCCCGTCATCAGAACATGTATGAAAAGGGTGGGTAGAGCCGGCTAAGTGGATATTTCGTCTTTGGATAACGTGTGACATCTTTTTCCACCTCTCCTTAGAGCACCCTCGAAAGCCCTCTCAGCACTCCCTGCCCTCACCCCTCCTGCAAGCTCATCCCCCCAGCCCTTGGTGTCCCTCAAAGTATCCCCTGCCGGCCCCTGCCAAGCTTTGCCAAGCCATGATTTTCGCCCAGCTCAGGCCCACCAACGCCGAGAAGACACGCTGCGACCAGACTGGACTAGTTTCTCAGCAGCTTTATTGAGTAGCGAGAGGTAGTGTCTCTTTCCACTGGACATGTGTCCTCAAGCTTGTACAAGAACTGCCTTGGGACAGACAGACAGACCGGTGGCCGGGCAGGGCAGGTGTTCCTGGTCGCGTGGGAGCACCAGGGACAGCTCAGCTCTCCAAAGGGCCTGGCGCCTGCTCCTGCTCGGGGAGGGCCAGAGGCATGTCCTGGTTCTCCTTCTCCTTGAGGGTGCTGAAGAAAGAGTTGACCTTGTCTCTCAGATCCTTCTCCAGGAAGCTCAGGTGGTCTTCCATCCCGCCTGCGTAGGGGCCCAGCTTCTGCCTGAGCTCCTCCACCTGCTGCACCAGGGCTTTGTTGAAGGTGTCGCCGTAGGGCCCCAGGTTGCGGCGGAACTCCTCCACCTGCCGGTCCAGGTGGCTGTTGAGCTGGGCCAGTGACTCCTGCAGTCCCTTGGCGTTGTCCCTCAGCTTGCCGCGCACGTCCTCGGCCACCGGCGCCAGCCTCTGCCGCAGCTTGTCGGCATCGGCCGTGATCTTGGCCTTCAGCTCCTCGGCATTCTTCTTCATCTGGAAGGCCAGTCCCTCGAGCTGGTGGTTGAGCTTCTCCTGGACGTCCTGCGCGTAGGGAGCCAGGCTGCGACGCAGCTCTTCCACGTTCTGGTCGATCTTGACCTTGAGCTCATCGGCGTAGGGCGTGAGATGCCCCTTGAGCTCTTCTATGTTCTGGTCGATCTTGGCCTTGAACTCATCTGCGTAGGGCGTCAGTGAGGACTGCAGGTTGTCCACGTTCTCGCGCAGCACGGCCTCCATGCGCTGCGCGTGGGACGTCAGGTGGCGCCGCAGGTGCTCAGTGTGAGTGTTGACCTGGGTGCGCAGCTCATCCGCGTACGGCCCCAGGCGCTGCTGCAGCTCGCGCACATTGTCCCCGATTTTCTGGCTCACCTCGTTGGCGTGGGGCAGCAGCCGTGCCCGCAGCTCCTCCAGCTCCTTCCGAATCTCTTCCTTCAGCTTCTCCGAGTCTTTGGTCAGGCGTTCGTGCAGCTCAGTGGCGAAGGGCACGAGCTTCTTCTGCAGGTTATCCGCATAGGTGTTCACTTGCCCAAGCTTGTCCTGGAAGAGGGCACTACAGAGGAAGGACACAAGAGGGCCACTGTTACACTTGGCATTCCGTGCCAGGACATTGTCTCCTTATATACCTGCCTAAGACAGGTGAGTGTTCAAGGGTACTGAGTTCACCCAGCTCGGCTCTGTGGCCTTCCCTGCGGCAGACCATGGTTTGAGAGGGTGGATGCAATAGACCAAGTTATTACCTTTTATCTCTGAGTCTCCCCCTGACCTTGAGTCACCTATCATGTGACCTCCAGGGGTTTGCTTTCCCCTCCCTATCTGTGAAGTAGAAAGGGCAGACTTTGAAGTCCTTCCCAGCACAGGTGCACTATGACATAGGTCACATTCATTGATAGGATGTTAGGCTCTGGACCCCTTCCAGTGTCTTTTACAGATTCAAAATACTGGTTTCCCTGTACGTGCCTGTCCTCACAGGCTCCCCAGATATCCCCACGTCCCTTCCCATGATGTCCCAGGGGCCCGTCTTTCTGGAATGTGTTAGGACCCAGCTCCCGTGACATCTCCCTCCCTCCCTTTCTTCCATGCATCTCAATGCTAAGACGTGGCCATTTGGCACAGTCTAGAAGGTTAAAGCAGAAGATTCCTTAGGGATTATCAGTCCAACCCCCTGTCTGCATGTGGATCCCAGATCCAGAGATCTCAGGGCCACTGGGTGAGTTAGTGGCAGGGCAGTGGGCATCCTAAGCCCAGGTCTCCTGCCTCTGAGCTCAGCCTTTGGCTGCCGCATTGCATGGCCTTTAAGAAGCCCCACCCCACAAGTCGTGTCTTTCTTACTTGAGCTGCTGGGTGAGCTCAGACTGCTGGAGATGTTCCACGGCTTCCTTGGCATTGTTGCTCAGCTGACTGAAGTAGTCCCACACCACGGTGGCCACCTGGTCGGGACTGACCTCAGCCCGGGCACCTGGGCAGGAAGCAGACAGTGATTCATGAGGACCTATCTCCTTCCTTGCCCCTCTGCACCAGCCCTGAGCTGCAGACCAGCTGATGGTGGGGGAGCCTGACCGCTGATCTCCTCCTCTGTGCTTCCCTAGTTAGAAGCTGGGAAGTTAGAAACTGGTCTGGCACTCACGCCAGCGGGCAGAACATTCTCAATAGGCCAGCCCTCCTGTGAACCGAGTGGCAAGTGGGCAGCCTTCTGTGTCCAACTGGGGGATGACAGGCATTTGGAACCGTCCTGTTGCCTGGGCCTCCGACTCTCCATCCTGCCCACTCGATGCGGCAGAGGGTCCTGCCCAAGAGCCCCATCCAGAGGAAGCTCCTACTCACCGGTGACAGCCACTAGGGCCAGGGTCAGGACCACAGCCCTCAGGAACATCCTGGGCTTCTCACCGGGCTGCACTGGATCCTTTCTGGAATCAGACGGCGCAACGGGAGAGGCTCTCAGGCAGCTCCACCTGTGCTGCTGTCCAAACTGACCAAAGCTCAGAGCCAGCCAGCCATTTAAACTCCCACCAGCCTGCCCTCCCCGCCTCCCTCCCCCGTGTGACTCCACGCTGGAAGATGACACATTCCCAGGAAGCCTCTTGGACTTTTGTGACTCTAAGACAACGTGGAAGCTGACAGTGGACTGAGGCTTGGGCAGCAGTCAGAAGAAGTTGTTCTGTGCTCATGCCCCACCCAGTATGAAGGGAGGGTGGGGAGCCATGAGCTGTGGGAGGCAAGAGGCCCAGGGAACCCCCGAGCCAGGGAGGGACTGATGCCCCAGGGGCCCTGCTGACAATTCTGGATCTGAGCCAGGTTTGGGGAGTAAAGTTCACACCTCCTCTGTCTGCCTCAGGGGAAAGAGTCTCCCCCGCCCCACACATTTCCCAAACTGACTCCATCTCAGAGCACCAGACACTAGACTAGGACATCCAGGGTCACAGGGACAGCAAGCTAAGATCCAGAGCTCTGGTCAAGGTGCCCAGGAGGAGGGCGAGTGGGCAGGTCGGTGGTGTGGGCAGAACCCCGTATTGAAAGGGTTAATTAAAAAAAAATTTTTTTTTAATTCTTTTTTTTTTTTTAGAGGGATATCAACATTTTTATTATTTATTTTTGGGACAGAGAGAGACAGAGCATGAACGGGGGAGGGGCAGAGAGAGAGGGAGACACAGAATCGGAAACAGGCTCCAGGCTCTGAGCCATCAGCCCAGAGCCTGACGCGGGGCTCGAACTCACGGACCGCGAGATCGTGACCTGGCTGAAGTCGGACGCTTAACCGACTGCGCCACCCAGGCGCCCCTTTTTTAATTCATTTTTGAGGGGGAGAGAGAGAGAGAGAGAGAGAGAACACGAACAGGGGAAGGGCAGAGAGAGAGGGACACACAGAAGATGAAGCAGGCTCCAGGCTCTGAGCTGTCAGCACAGAGCCCAATGCAGGGCTCAAACTCACAAACCGCGAGGTCATGACCTAAGCTGAAGTCAGGCGCCCAACCAACTGAGCCACCCAGGCACCCCTTGAAGGGGTTGATTTTAAGTGTGCTTCATGTCCCGCTGCTGCCCAGCTGTGCCACCTTGGCCTAGTGACTCAACTTGGCCCAATTCTGAGCCTCAGTTTCTCCTTTGAACACGGGGTTGCTGGGCATAATAAATGAGCTGTTGCTCGTGCAATGGGTGTAGCGCCTGGCTCAGAATAAGCACTACACAGTCGTTGTTGTTATTAATAATCACCTTGTTTTCATGATTGGGGCCCTGGCAGGGGGTCCAGTAGAATGCTCATCCCTCCAGAGAGAGGGCAGAGTCAGGCCCAGCCCTCTAGGGATCACCAAGGTGGGGTATGATGCAGGGGAAATGGCTCCCAAGCTTAGCCACACTCCCTGGGTGGGAGCAGTCAGCCTGTGCTGAATCTCAGGACCTGAGCCTCTTAGGGGACTTCTCACTGGGGGCTGGGGGATGGGGGCAGGAGGTCTTCTAGGAGACTTCTATCGTTCTCCACAATGAGGTCATACACACGATTACAGAAAGCCATCCACCAAGAAGACAACGCGGCCTGCTCTGCATGGGCCCCTCTGCTAGACCATGCCACCTGCAGTGACTGTGAGAGGAAACTCATTCCCACTGCACTGTTGGCTCTGATCCGAGAGCACAGGGCCCGACACGCGGGTGGACTCCTGGCCACCCGCCATCACGACAGCCCACAGTTGTGTTAACCCTGATTTATCGGGCCTCCATTTTTCATACTCCAGAAGTGGCTTGATGTCTCATGGGATTAAAAACAGCTAAGGCCTTCAGCCTCTTGCGCCCTGCCATGTCCCCATACTGCCCGCGGTCGCCTCCAGTCTCAGGGAGCCCCGCCTTCCTGGACAGCTGTCCCTATCTTGCGGTAGTTGTGAAGGGCTCAGATTCTGGAGTCGGACTCCATGGGTTTGCGTCCGGGCTTCCCACTTACTGTCCACGTGACCTCGGGAAAATCTCCTAATCTCTCTGAGTCTCAGCTGCCTCAGCTGGGCGTAGAATAATGAGGAATCAGTGAGACAGTGTGTCACGCTGGGAACAGTGTCTAGGAACAGCACTAGCCACATTTCACCCTGCAAGCCTTACCTCCCTGCCACACTGGCCTATCGCTCCTGTTCCTGCTCCCCAGTCAGGCACAGTCCAGTCTCGGGTGGGTGCAAAGGTCAGTGCTCAGTGTCCCCATCCCTTCCCCCGGGGCCAGAGATGAAAAGAGCAATGAGTCACCAAGAACATCTCAGCTGCAGCCTGACCTCTTGGACTTGGAGTGTGAACAACAGGTGCCACCAGCATGTGACAGGTCCTGTCTCACTTGCCTGGGCGTACACACACTGGGAGTGTCTGCACCCCGCTGAGCATGTCTGAGAGCATCTGCCAGGACGTGCACAGATTCACATAAGTGTGCAAACACTTCAGCTGTCTGTGGGCACAAAGCTAAGGCATCTCGCTAAGGGACCGGTGCCGGCCTGTGCGACAGCCACAACCACGAGGGGGGTGTGCTGCTTCCTGACATGTCGTGGGTGGATGCCATTACTGAATGCGTATGTTTCCCCAAGTCAGTGGGCATGTTTTGCATCAGTCTGTAAACAGATTTGCACCGGGAACAGGGGAAGAACGAGTGTCCAGTCTTACAGCGTTCGCGCCGCGGGCTCGGCCTCCGGCTGGGCCTCTGGTTCTCTTTGGGCACAGATGCTGGCCACTCCTGCAGGACCTGACCCTATGAGACAAGAGACGGCCCCATGGGTGGACACAGGGGGCCCATGTGATGCTGGGCACATCATGTGCCTCTCTGAGCCTCGCTCTCCTTGTGTGTGCAATAGACGGCCCTAATGGTTGGTAACACAATGAGGTTGAAAGTCCAGCATTACAGCCACCCTCCTGTCCACCCCACAGGGACAAAACCAGGGGTCAGCCCAGAGCTCAGAGTCAGGAGGGGAGAGCTCAAGACCAGCCAGAGACAGGCAAGTCACATGGACATATTCCCCACAGATGCTCCACTCTGGCCCTCCCCACAGGGCAGAATTAAAGAGGGGTAGCTCCTGTTGTTGTTACAGGAAGGATCTGGGTGGGATAATAGGAGGAACTTCCAGCATGGAGAGGCATGGGGAACCAGATCCTCTGGCTGGCAGGGCTGAATCGGGGCTCCCCATCCAGCCTAATGGCAGGGGCATGGGTCACAGAGGCTTGGGTGCTAAGCCTCGCCCAGACGCAAGGAAGCTAGTGAGGAATCAGCCTAGCCCTAGAGGACCAGTTTTGGCCCCAGCTGCTCAAGCCTCCCTCCCGCTCCCTCCTTACCACCACTGGTGACTCCTTACAGCCAGTCTGTGGGCCAGGCCCAGAGCAGGCACCTCATCCCAGGGGAGCCAGCGTGGGATGGAGAGAGAGAGAGAAAGGAGAGAGGCAGCTTAGGCTGGCCCCTGAGAGGGCCCCTCCCGAGAAAGCCCTACTGAGACCCAAGCCAGAGCTGTCAGGAGGGGCACTCAATTGTGCCAAAGAGGAAAAGTCCCAGGACTCATGGCATGCCACACCTCTGCTGCATGGGCCCACACACCTGGGTTCTCTGCCCAGCTCAGCACGACCCTGCTGGGTCTCTCTGCCCCCATCTTCTGACCTCCCTGGCCTCAGGGGGCCCATTGCTACATGTGAGAGAGAGGACAGGTTCCTCCAGACCCTCCACACACAGGGAAAGAGAGTTGGAGGGTCCAGGGCCAAGGGATCCAGCCAGCCCATTCTAGCAGGCGCAGGGACCGAGGACTTTGTACTCTGACCCAGCCTGGAACCTGGATTCCCACTGTGGCCTTCACCTCCAGGGCCGAGGGACAGGCCAGAACAGAAGAGTGACATGGGCACAAGTTGCTGTCTACCCTCCCCGGTGCGCAGATCCTTCAGCGACCTGATCAGCTTCCTTTCCTCCCCACCCCATCACCAAAATCTGTGCTCAGGAAGAGATCTGAAACTGATTTACTCTAAGGTCTGAGTGAATGATAAATCTCCAAGGGTCTCATCGCTCCAAGCTGCCTAGCACCAGTATTGGTATTTGAAGACCTGGATTCTGGTTTCCAGCTCTACCAGTGATGTGCTGTATGTACTCGGGGACATCTCTACCCCTTTGAGCCTCAGGTCTCTCATCTACCAAATGGGATCGTTAATATCTACTTCATAGAAATCTATTTGCATTTTAACAGAATACAAGATCTAAGTCAAAGGAATGAACTTCTAATGGAGAAAAGTCAAGTCTTAGCAAACAAAGAATTCTGAGGGTGGAGCCAGGCCTCTTTCTCAGGCCTCTGATTTCACACCATGGAGTTAGTTGCTTCTTCCTGAGAAGATGGCTGCCTGCTTTCAAAAGCCCTATTTCCTCCTGCCTTCAGACTATGCTGTCTAGGGATAGACAAGGGGTTTGGGAGGAAGAAAGAGATTTATCGAGCCTGTTCCATGAACCAGTTGCTTTGTACATGCCTCATTTACTTTGTACCACAACTCTTGGCATATCAGCATTCTACCCCCTTTTACAAGAGGAGCAAATCGAGGCTCTGAGGTATTAGGTCTCTGTTCCTGGGTCATATGACTTAAGAGTCACAGGCATCGTTTGAACCTGGGATTTCTTGGCTCCAAAGTCTTATTAGCCTCCCTGATCCAGGTTATGGCTCCTGTTGCGGGCCCAGGGCCACCTTACCCTGAGGAAGGTAAGGCCGAGTCCTCTCCTGGACAGCCCCTGCAGAGCTCCTCTGTCCCCTCTCCCCACCGGACTGGCCTCACCACAGCCTCGGTTCGTTCCAGCTCCCCTCCCAGCCAGGGGGCTCTGAGGGCTGCCATTGCAAAGCTGAGGAAACCAAGGCCCGAGGTGAGAGGTGCTCAGCGCTGGCAATCGGTCCCAGTTGTCGCCGTCTGGGGAAGGCCCAACCCTGGAACCCCAGCTCCTGCCCCAGGGAATGTTATCAGTGGGTCCAGAGGGCAAGGGGAGGAGGAGGGGGGAAAGGCCTTGGGCTCAGAGCAGTCTCCCACCACCCCCTGCCCTGGGCTCAGCTGGAGAGGCTCCTGGAGAAGAGACGTCAATGCAGGGGACGGGGCTGTGTGGAGTCAACTGGGTCTCCCCTCCCCACACAAGCCTCTGCCCATAGGTCTTGGGTGACTTCACTCCCGACCCCCCACCCCAATACTGAGTTGTTCTCAAGCCTGAAGAAGCCCATCACCTTCTCAATCCAGCCCCCACCCCTTCCAGGCTGTTTCCAGGGCCCAGGGGGCGGGGTGCGGGGAGGGACCTGAAAGGCATGTGTGAAGGGCTGCGGTGGCCCAGAGACCCCTGGCTTCTCCCCTGATGCCTTTCCCCCACCTCTCCCTGGGGAGCCAGGCCGCTTGGAGGAAATGGGGTATGCCTAGTCCCTGAGCCCCTCTGGGCCGCAGGGGTGGCAGGAGACCAGTGTGGTCACCGCGGCACCTAGAGATTTCCCAACTCTCCCAGCAAGCCTGGCTGCGTCTGGGCACCCTGCCTCGGGCCCTGGTCTAGACTGATCAGCAGGTGACCTTTG